CTAGTAAGTAGACAGTAGACAGTGTATCACAAAAGTGAGTACACCCCTCACATTCCTGCAGATGTTTAAGTATATCTTTTCATGGGACAACTCTGACAAATTGACACTTTGACACAATGAAAAGTATTCTGTGTGCAGCTTATTTAACAGTGTAAATATATTCTTCCCTCAAAATAACTCAATATTCAGCCATTCATGTCTAAACCACCGGCAACAAAAGTGAGTACACCCCTAAAAGACTACTCCCCTAAATGTCCAAATTGAGCAGTGCTTATCCTTTTCCCTCCTAAATGTCATGTGACTCATTAGTGTGAGTAGGTCTCAGGTGTGCATAGGGAGCAGGTGTGTTCAGCTTTGTAGTACAGCTCTCACACGTGCTCAGCGTCACGTCCGAATGCTGTCTTTGAAAGATAGGTGCAGGAGTGCTGTCAGCATTGCTGCAGAGACTGAAGAGGTGGGGTCAGCCTGTCAGTGCCCAGACCATACGCCGCCCACTACATCAAACTGGTCTGCATGGCCGTCATCCCAGAAGGAAGCTTCTTCTGAAGTTTGCACACAAGAAAGCCCGCAGTTTGCTGAAGACATGTCAACAAAGGACATGGATTACTGGAACCTGGTCCTGTGGTCTGATGAGACCAAGATTAATTTGTTTGGTTCAGATGGTCTCAAACATGTGCGAGTACAAAGTGTGTGATGCCTACAGTCAAGCATGGTGGTGGGAATGCCATGGTCTGGGGCTGCATGAGTGCAGCAGGTGTTGGGGAGTTACATTTCACTGAGGGACACATGAACTCCAATATGTACTGTGAAATACTGAAGCAGAGCATGACGCCCTCCCTCTGGAAACTGGGCAGTGTTCCAGCATGATAATGACCCAAACACACCTCCAAGACGACCTCTGCTTTACTGAAGAGGCTGGGGGTAAAGGTGGTGGACTGGACAAGCACGTCTCCAGACCTAAACCCAAGAGAACATCTTTGGAGCATCCTCAAGCAGAAGGTGGAGGAGCGCAAAGTCAGATCCGTGATGTCGTCATGGAGGAGTGGGAAAGCATTCCAGTGGCAACCGGTGAAGCGCTGGTAAACTCCATGCCCAGGAGAGTTCAGGCAGTTCTGGTAAATAATGGTGGCCACACAAAATACTGACACTTCAGGAGCTTCCACTAAGGGGTGTACTCACTTTTGTTGCTGGTGGTTTAGACATGAATGGCTGTATACTGAGTTATTTTGAGGGAAGAATAAATTTACACTGTTAAATAATCTGCACACAGACCAGACCACATTTCATTGTGTCAGAGTTGTCCCATGAAAAGATATACTTAAATATCTGCAGGAACGTGAGGGGTGTACTCACTTTTGTGATACACTGTGTATATATGTATATGTATATATATATATATATATATGAGAGAGAGAGAGACCATTTAGAAAGTTTCACTATTTGAATGGAATTACTGAAATAAATGAACTTTTTCATGATATTCTAATTTTATGACCAGCACCTGTAGATACACAAATGTGCACTGACAGAAAGAAAAAGCTGGGGACTGATACATTAGTGGATAGGACTGGGCCCTATCGTATCGTTCGCGATAATACCGGTAAAAAAAAGCTTACCCGGCAAATAAATGATATCGTGATATGTTAATTTTAGGGGTGCACCGATTTCAATTTTCAGGCCGATCACCGATCACCGATTTTTTGAAAGTCTGAACTGCCGATTCCGATTTTGGCCGATACCGATTTTTTTTTATAAGCAACAGTGTCGGGTGTTACAAGATCACAATGCACCTTCAATTTACCAATCTTATTTTATTGTAAAACATACCCTTGAAAAATACCCTAGAAACAATACAAACTTGTTGTTTTAACTTGTCATGAGGTAGTATTCTGAAATATAAATGAAGTTTACACAATTTTTGTTAAAACTATAAAATTAACTAAAAAAAAATGTTCAGTTCCTTCAACTCTTTCACTTGTTACATTTAAAAAAAAAAAAAGATAATGCAACAAGTGTAACATTTTCAAGTCAGTGGGTAATAAGAACTAACACTGGTAAGTTAGTTCTCACAGACTTATTCCAGTCACTTTCATTAGTGGCAGGTTTTTCTTGATGAACAAAAGCATTTCTGCTTTGTCACCAGACAGGCGACTTCTTTTCTCATCTACTACATGTCCAGCCAAGCTAAACAGGCGCTCGCTTTCAACGCTTGTGCATGGGGCAGAGAGATAGGTTCGGGCAAGTAGAGCAAGATGAGGGAAACGATTTTCATTGATCTTCCAGTAGACCAATGGGTCCTGGCTCCTTTCGACAGGAACCTCAGATAGGTAGTTCTGTACCTGCATAGCTGAAGGGCTGGCCAGCTGTTGCTCCTGTTCAATGTTCTCCTTCAAGATTTCGTCGTGAGCTGCAAACAGTAGACTACGCCTTTTGGCTGCAGGTTCATCTATATCAGGAGGTCCCACTTCAGAGGATGTTCCTGCAGCAGGTGTGCATCTGGTCTCCCCCTCTGCAAGTTTGGTCAAAAGGAGCAGTTTCACGTCATCTTTCACCTCTGCTGAGAAGTAGCCATTCTTGTACCTTGTTTTGCATAAACAAAGAAAGATGGGTCAATCATTGTGTTTTGTATACATTAACAGTTTTTATGACTTGCATGTAAATAAAGAAATGCATTTCAATCAATAAATTTTTATTTTTAATTTAATTTAAATGTTTGTTGAAATATAGTAGTAGGCTAAAAGTCATTATGGCTAAAATAGAATGTTAATAGTTACTTGCCTTGGATCCAGAACAGTGGCCAAGCTGTACAGGGGCTCATGCTCAATGTTGCTGAATCTTCTCACAACAGCCTCCAGCAACGTAGCTTTGGCTGTACCCACGCCACGGTCTGTGCTCGCTTGCCTCTCCAAAATCCGCTTGAGTGCAGTGATGGCTGGGATGACATCTGCTGCTGTAGCTGTTGATGAGCTAATCTCCTTTGTGAGTTCCTCAAAAGGTGCAAGAATGGTGAGCACATTGTCCAGTAGCTCCCACTGGTGTGCTGTGAGTGTGGCTGGTAACTCATGCTCAGCAGCATACACGCCAATAGCACGTCTCTGCTCCAACAGCGACTGCAGCATGTAGACTGTGCTGCTCCACCTCGTTGAAACGTCTTGCTGTAATCGTTTCCTGGGTTGACCTAACTGTGTCTGTATGTCATAAAGTCGGGAATAGGCAAGTGATGAATGCTTAAAATGTCCAACAATTCTCCTTCCTGTTGCCACCATGTCTGTGATGCTGCGCTGCGCCAGCTGTCCCTCATTTACAACCAGTTGCAGTGTGTGTGCCAGGCAGGGTAAACTTTTCAGGTTGATATCATCCAGCGCTTTGGCCATATTACGAGCATTATCCCGTAAAACAACGTGAACTCTTCCATGATCGATTTCCCAGTGATTCAGCATCGCCTTAAACTCTGCTGATAAATTGGCCGCAGTGTGAGACCCCGCCATTTCTTTACAGTTTAAGAGTACTTGATGACGTTCGAACTGTTCGTCAATCCACTGTGCAGTAAAACTTAACATGGACATTAAACTTACATCAGAAGTCCAGATGTCTGTTGTAAAGCTGAGTGTATTTGTATTAGCTTTTAGCAGGCTGCGGGTGTCTCTCGAAACTTGGCTGAACAACTCCGGTAATGCAACATCAGAAAAATATTTCCGACTCGGCATATTATATCGTGGGCACACGTGCTGCATCAAGCTTCTAAAACCTTTGTCCTCAACGACTGAAAATGGCTGGTTGTCTAATGCCATGAACTCCATCACTTTCCTCGTGGTAGCTTTGCTCTTTTCGTTGCTCATAAAAGCTAACAGCGACCCACCGACTGCCTCTTTGTTAGCGCTAGCTTTAGCATTAGCCTTAGCTTGGTTGCTCTCTTCAAACATTGCATACTTGGCGGCGTGGTGATTTCTTAAATGGCGAACGAGGTTTGTTGTATTAAAGATTTTGGTGGTGGCTCCACCACGACTTACTTCGGCTTTACACGAATTGCAAATTGCGATCTTTGGCTCATTTTCTTTTACAGCGTAGAACTTCCAAACCGACGACATGGCTGCTCCGAGTGACCTGTGTGTGAGCTCTCACAGTGGAGCAAAAGGGGACAGCAGCTGATTTTCAGACCTTTCCGGAGGCAGATAAGATCGGTGGATAAAATCGGCTTCTCATTTAAAGATCGGCCGATCGCCGATCTCCCCAAATTAAGGAAATCGGGGCCGATCGATCGGCCGGCCGATTTATCGGTGCACCCCTAGTTAATTTCATGACGTAATGCGTCAGGGCGCCCCGCCCCATGAGCGGAACCGAGCGTGCCGACTGACCACACTGAATTGCGCCCCCCCCCCACCACCTGTCGGTACTGGTGTAACGCTAATTAGCTGCGCACAATACTAGCTAGCTAAAAAGCTAAAAACAAACAGCGCGTGGCTCAACTGTCTCCATCCCCCGCTGATCACCTTGTTACAAGTTCTGGAAGTTACAGCTCATTTAAAGACATATATTTTGTTGTTGTTACATTTATGATCAACAGATCTTAAGCTTCATTTTATTTTATTTAGTTATTTTGGGAAACTTCACGTGCACTTTAGTTTTTGTGGTGGATTTATTGATCTATATTTTGTGCAGACTGTTTCAATCTAAATAACAGAAGGATCATTTTTATTTTTATACTTGGAGACTGAATACTAAATAAAGTAATTTCAGTAAAATTACCCTTTGTTTTTTAAATTTATATAATACTGCAAAGCAACATGACAAGTTAATTTTGTCCAATAAATAACTATGATTTCAGGTTTTTTTTTAATATCATGAAATTTATCGTTATCATCAGAATGTTCTGAAATATCACGATATTATATTTGAGCCATATCGCCCACCCCCCTATTAGTGGATCAATTCCCAGCTTTTACATTCTAGTAAAAGAAAGTATATACTTTAGTGACTAACATACATGTGTGTGTTCGTAGGCTGCAGTGGACTGACAGAAGGCTGTTTGTCGTACCTGAAGCGGCTCCCCTGTCTGACCTTGCTGGACCTCAGAGGATGTTCGGGGATCAGCAGACGCTCCTGCGACGCCTTCATTTCAGACTTGTCCTACAGCGCCCTCTACTGTATGATGGAGGAGAAGCTCATTCAGCGCCTGGACTAACGTAACACTTTTCAAAAAGAAACCAGACTTCTTCTGTTTGTTTTTTATGTTTGAAGCCTAGCCAACTACCACAGTTTTCTAAAAGAAACAATAAAGCAGTTTAATACAAAATCAAGACTCCGAGTTTATTTTCTCTGCTCTCTCCGCAGGCTTTAATAAATTCGACTTATTTGGACATACTACAAAATCAGTTGTGACATCACTCACAAAATGAGTACACCCACCCCCCCCCCCCATGTTTTTCAAATAAAGGTTATACAGCTGAAGCACATTATCGTTTTTTCCTCCAGCATCAACTGTCGCTGTCAACATCTGCATGAGAAACAGATTGAGCTGTTTTAAATGACGTCAGTCCATTTCAGTCTTAACCAGTGCTTCGTTTGTAAACCAGTGCTTCGTTTGTAAACCAGTGC